AGAGTCTGTGTCTCCCTCTCTCTCTGCCCCTCTCCCGCTCACTCTCTGTCAAAATAAAGACATGAAAAAAGTTAAATCACCAGTGGAAAAAGTTTAATGACTGTTTTATTTTTCTGTAGTTGCCGTTCGTTAGGGTTTTCATGTACGTTGCTTCTCCCCTGAACCCTGTAAAGGAGGCAGTATTGTCCAGGTTTTGCAGAAAAGAAGATGGAGGCTTCTGCCAGCCAATGGTAGCAAGCCTTCTTGTTCCGAAGCATGTGATTATTCCTTATCAGGGGTTCCCCTACATTTTGGGTGGGCATGAACATTCAGAACCACATAGGACAGGGGAATGGTCTGGGTTTCTGGAGGTGGGTGCAGAAGGCTCAGGGCTGGCCTTGGGGGGCTTCCCGGAAGTGGAGTAGACACATTTAGGAACAAGGGACCCACACAAAGGGCCCACCTGGGTCCCCAGACCAGAATCCTGGGAAGATGAGGGTGTACACCTGTTTTTTCTCAGACATGAGCCTCTTTGCTCTCCTCATGATAACCAGGAAGAGCTAGAATCACTATATGCTTTCAAAGTGGTAGTATCTGCTTGTTTGAGTCCACTGGGCCCCACAGCACAGGTACAGGACTGGGGAAAAACCCAGGCTTTCCCAGTGTTGCTTAGATGATCCTGATGTGAAGCCAGGGTTCAGTCCTAAACTCCAAGTTTATGTGGGAGTCTCCCAGACCTGATTTGTAGAGATCCTTCTCAAGGAGAGGGCTGTTGGGTGCTTCTCACACCCCTTTTCTACCCCTGCTCCTACAAGACAATGGCATCTGTCACTCTGAGGGTCCTGGCCTTAGTCCAGTCCTATCACTCTTTGGCCACAAGGCAGGGGAGGAGGCCTGCTGGCTGGCCAGCACGTCTCTGAGATGGCCCAGTGTGTTCCAGCACTGCTCACGGGTGCACCTGTATCAGAGAATAGAGTGCCCATTCAGGCTGCAGGATGACATTGGTTGAGAGAGAGACTCTGGGCCCAGCTGGACTTGTAGAAGGCAGTCCAGCCTGGAACGTGATTTTATTTCCTGGAAGTCACCAGAATCTAGCCTGAGGGAGGGATCCTTTCCTGTCGGATGCAGGATTAGCCTAGACAGCCCCATTCATTTGGACTTATCCTAACTCAGAACTGCTGACGTTTTCCATTTTGTAAACCTCTGCTAAAGCTGGTACTTCATACTCCTGGTAATTCATTTTCTCCTGATGACCAAACATTCACCAGAGGTTCTCAGCTCTATTGTGAGAACTAAGCCGAACCACCACTGACATCCAGTTATAACAGAGTCTTGAATTGTCCTGCTTCTTGTATAGATAGCCGGAGGAGCTCTGATCTCACATTCCCCCACCCCAGCTCTCCCTCAGCTAGCACCCAGGAGGAAGGGGCAGGTTCCATGGGTTAAATGATGCTTCTGCTTCGGGGCACTGAGGGAGGAGGCACAGTCTACTGATAGCAGGGCTGCTGCGGGTGTGAAGAGGGTGGATGGGCCTCCTGTGTGCAAGCAGCTGGAGTTTTGGTCCCTGGTTCTCACACACCATGCTAGATCTGGACACAAAAATGAGCAAGAGGCTCTGCCTTCCACAGGGACCTCAGGCAGGGAGGGCAGAAAGCAGACAAGTAAAAGGAGGAAAGACAAGGATGAGGACAAGGCACCCCTCAGAGGGTGGAATGGAGGGGGAGCTGCCACCAGAGCCCATCCTGCGAGAGGCGACAGCCAGAGTCTGCCAGGAAAGGGACGGTAGGAGGCCCAGGCAGACAACAGCATGAACGAAGCCATGGGGGACAGAGTGTGGGAGGCCACCAAAGCTACGATCAAGGTCACCTGGCTCTTTTCTGTGGTCCTGACTCACCTGGGCCAATAAAGCTGAACTCTGGTGTAATTTGGTTAAGTCTTAGGAACTCAGGATAAGTTTATAGCCAAAATCATTTTTTTATTGACTTAGAAAAAAATAAAGTTTGTTTTTTTTTTTCAAACTGGGCTAATTACAACTGAGAAGCTGAGGAGAGCAGCCGTATCAATTTTACATTGGTGAAGATTTCTCAACACCAGCGCTCCTGTGTTTCAATAAATCTAAGATAACATTGATTAGAAGATACTGCTTTAGGTACCATTAAGAAAGAGAAAGAGCTGCAAATTTTGAGATACCACGGATTACAAGATGTCCTGTTTGCCATATGAAAATGTTTAAGACCGATTACAGAAGATAGGCACTTTCCTCTGCACAAACCTGTGGGTATACAGACTTGTGCAGACACAGGCCTTGCTTGCTGTGAGCACAGATTGGCTCCTCAAACACCAGGTTTGTGCACCTACCGCAGAGCAGGTGCTGGGGGGGGGGGCGGGTAAGGCCTAGGGAAGTTGAGTAACTTTGCTCAAGGGCAACAGAATCATCTGGAAGCAATGGCCCAGGTGTCCCACAGGCTGAGAACTACTTCCACTCTCCTGGGAGAGGGGCAGGCTCTCTTGTGCCTGGTTACAGACTCCCAGGCACATTTACTCCATCACTGACTAACCAAGTCCCCCGGGAGCTGTCTGTCCACCTTCTCTGAGTGGCTCTCCACCTCACCAAGCTTGGCTCCAAGGATATCAGTGCCCAGTAGCCCTGTGGCAAGTCCCGGGGTCCCTCAGACCCTAATGTCTCCAGGACCGGGGAGGGCAAACTTACACTTAGCGTTCTGAGCCCCAAGTTGCTAGGCAAGACCTAAGTATTGTGAAAACTGGAATCACGAGAGCAGCTCTGACTTCAGGGTATGAAGGGGAATACCCTTGTGGAATTGAACATCACCACCTAAAAAAGGATGAGGGGAAATTTCTGGGAAAATCACTCAGCTCCAGTGCAACTTCTCCTGTCCCTGCACCTGAGAGGTGACAGTCTTCTGACATTGTCCAGGCAGCTGGGGGTTGTGGTTAGACGGGGAGTACACTCCACCTGTAGGGTCCTGCCCAAGACAACCTTGAGCTAAGATTCTGTTACACCCTGTCTTCAGACTGGTTTGTTTTCAAAAGTTTAAATACTTTTAGCAAAGGGCGCCTGGGTGACTCAGTGGGGCGACTCTTAATTTTGGCTCAGGTCACGACCTCATGGTTCGTGGGCTTGAGCCCCCCACATTGGGCTCCATGCTGACAGAGGAGCCTGCTTGGGATTCTCTCTCTCTCCACTTCTCTCTCTCTCTGCTCCTCTCCTGCTTGTGCCTCCCCCTTCTAAAAATAGAAAAATAATGGGGTGCCTGGGTGGCTCAGTCAGTTAAGCAACCGACTTCGGCTCAGGTCATGATCTCATGGTTCGTGGGTTTGAGCCCTGTGTCGGGCTCTGTGCTGACAGCTCAGAGCCTGGAGCCTGCTTCAGATTCTGTATCTCCCTCTCTCTGACCCTCCCCTGCTCACGCTCTCTATCTCTCTCAGAGATAAATAAAAAATAAGTAAAAATAGAAAAATAAAAATACTTTTGGCAAATGCTGGATGTAATTTCACAGCATCTTAGGTCAGGGAGATATAATTTTCCTGATTACTAAGCAGTTATTAACCCAACAAGGTCAAGAATCTTTGTTTAGTAGGAGCCACTACAGATAACTTCCCTGTTTCAGATGTCAGGAAGAGCTTGAATCAATTAAGGGAAACAGTTGATATTCAAAAATTCTAAGCAAGGTTTCCAGTGCCTAACTTTGGACACATGATGATCCTGGGTGACATTCTTACTATGCTGGAGAAGCTACTGGGTAGCTCCCCGGCTCTGCAGGAAGAAAGTAAGAAGATGTTTTAGTATTTCCAGGTGAACCAACCCCTTCCTTAAAATTTGTGTTAATGATCCCAAAGAGATGAGTTTCTAGTGCCTGAAGGTTAGAGGTTCCAAGTTTCAGAAGTGAAAAGGTTTTCCTAAATTTATAATGATATATTTTTTAATGTTTTTATTTACTTTTGAGAAAGACAGAGAGTGCGCGTGCCAGAGCACAAGAGGTAGAGGGGCAGAGACAGAGGGAGACACAGAATCTGAAGCAGGCTCCAGGCTCTGAGCTGTCAGCACAGAGCCTGATGCTGGGCTTGAACTCATGAACCTTGAGGTCATGACCTGAGCTGAAAGTCAGGCGCTTAACCGACTGAGTCACCCAGGCACCGCAGTTTTCCTAAATTTATTAGCAAGAGGTCAGGTTTTCAGCTTCTGTCTGGAAGTCCAGAGCCAGGCTCCCAGGACCCAGAGCAGCACTGAACATCAGGGAAGTAGCAGGCTGGGCATTCTGGGACTCCAAAAAGGGCTTCAAGAAAGTGTTCTGGTCCAGAGGGGGCCCCCTGTGGAGTCTGGCAAAAGAAGAACAAGGAACACAGAGGAGCTCATGGTCACCACTAGGGGCCCAGCTCTTCCCCAAAGTCACAAAATATGGAGGGACAGATTGGCCCCAGGGCCTGGGCAGAAGACCCCCAGAGCTGGTGAGGGAGATGGGGCTGGGTTCCAGGGGTCCTGAGGTGCCCTGGCCTCAGGGAGGGCCAGCACTGGCAAGGCTCTGGCTGAAGCATCCACAGTAGAGGTGCTTGAGGTGACGTCCAGGAGGGAGCCTGGCCCCACATGGAGGAAGTGAGACGAAGGGCGGATGCCAGGGACTGACTCAGGTCCACCTGGCAGCTGTGGGAGTCTGAGGACGACCATGGGCAGGGTCCTGTCAGCCCCTCTCCCCACCCAGGTGCGTGGGCCAGGGCTTCACTGCTCCAGGCCTCCCTTCTTCGTCTAGCAAGTGGGACCTTTATGGCCACACCCAGCGTGGAGGTAAAGACTTTTATTCCCATGCTCTCCATAAGAGTCTGAGGGGAGACCTCTCCGTAAAGATGGGGGACAGGAGGGCAGGTGGAGGACGCTTCTCTCAGGCGTCCCCCACTGCAGACGCTCTGTCTGCACCCTCCTCAGACACTGTGATCCTCTTTGAGGAAACAAAAAAGTTAAGGCAGAGAGGAACCTGCCCATCACTATCAGATGCACATTCATTCACTCCACTCTTTTAACAAACATTTATTAAGCGCCTACAGTGTGCCAGGCCCTGGGGGTATAGTCAGGTCGCACACAGCCCCATCCCCAAGGAGTTCACAGTCTGGGGTGGGGCAGACATGGCTGCAGGAGGCGGAGGGGGCCCGGGGCGACTCTTGGTGGGGGTCAGTCGGGACCAGCAGATCATGGAGGAAGGGCCTGCCTCTGCTTCCTCAGGACGGAGTTCAGGCCTCTCCCCAGGTACCGGATGGGCTGCAGGGGTACCACCCCCCACCCTAGGAGTGAAGAAAAGGGAGCCAGAGCCCAGAGGCCTGGAAAGGAGCTGCACACAGAACAAATTCCTGCTGCGTGCCCACACTCAGTCCCAGGCCCACAAGGCTCCTGGGAGCATCTCTGGGCAGGTCTGCTCAGTCACTTCCTTTTTCAACACTGTTTAGGGAACCCCAGCCCCCTACCCCCAGGCTCTCGCCCTTCTCCCTTCTACAGGGTCAGGAACCAGGCACAGCCCAGGCCCCTTCCTAGCGCTCAGAGCCTTCTCATCAGCTCAATAAGCTGCTGGATGTTTTTGTTTTGGTTGGACAGGCCGTTCCTGATGTTTTCCAGCAGACACCTCTTTAACTCAAAAATGGCCTCACTGTACCCCAAGCTCACCGTGGCCATGGGAGGCACCCCATGCCACAGGCCAGGGATATGCCAAACGTGCTGCTTCTCAGGGTCACAAAAGGCCAGGTCAGCCAGCGTCCGGATGCCGTCACCCTGCTTCTCCATCTGTGCTGTGGCTCTGTTCACATCTCCAGGGGGCTCCAGGAGTGGCCTCCACTCCCGTGGCCTGGGGCCGGGGCCACAAGCGTCCTGGAGGTTCTGGTACACAAACTGATAGTTGGGCATGTGCCCTGTTTTCTCCAACCTCAGAAACGCATGCAGAATAGCCGGTGGTATGTCCCTTGTCTCGGCCAGGCTAACCACGGTGACATTGCTCAGCCCCATGAGCAGAGTGGCCAGGGAGGCCTCCAGCTCAAACCTCTCTCCGGCCGTGGCCAGGGCCCCGCCGATCAGGCCCCCCGAGTCTATCACCAAGATGTGGTCACAGCCCAGATCCTGGCTGAAGCTCTCGGCCACGGTGACCAGCTGCATGAAGGCCCCTCGAGGGCCACAGCCCCGCCCCGTGGCAAAGCGCAGCCCAAACATGGTGTTGAGAAGCGTGGACTTCCCGGTGCCTGGTGCACCCAGTGCCGACAGGACCACCAGGCGTGACCTCCTCTCCAGGCGGACGTGCAGCTCCTTCAGGAGCCCCGTGACCCAGCGCAGGGGCGTGCTCAGCGTGCTGCCATCGATCAGCTCCAAAGGAAGCCCCTTCAGCAGCAGCTCCAGGGCCAGGCCTGGGAAGTGGGCAAACCGCCGCTGGCCTGTCGGCAGCTTCCCTGCCTCCACCAGGCAGCTTTCTGCCTCATAAAACTGTCCCATCTCCCGCAGGAAGTGTTCTACCCCCAGGGGCTCGGGCCAGAGCAACTCACTGAAGTCCACCATGCCACAGTGTTTGGGTCTCAGGGTAAGAATGGTCTCAGGAGGCTGCCGCAGCCTTGGCTGGGCCACGTGCGCCAGTCCCCATTCCATCCACCTCAGGAAGTACTGCTTCTCGGCCAGCGAAGTGCTGCTGATGCCCGCGATGAACTCCTGCAGCCCCCAGGCTGGGTCCTGGCAGTTCTGCTGTGTGCGAAGTTCCAGCAGGCGGTGCCCCAGCTCCACCCTGCCCTTGTCAGGAGGGTCCCCCGCCCGCTGGGCCTGGCACAGCTCCTTCTCCACCTGGGCTGCCTTCCGCCAAGGGTCCCCCTGCAGCCGCAGCTCGTCCCTACGGTAGGCGTCACAGTCCTTGATCCTCCTGGTGATCCGCTCCATGCGCTGCTTCGCTCGCTGACACTCGTCACAGTCCTCATCCACCCTGAGCCCCAGCTTGCGGGCCGCATGTGCCATCTCCTCCACAGACAGCCTCCTGCAAGGGGACCGGGCCACATGCGCCACGATGGAGCGGACCCGGCGCACGAAGCCCACACTGTCAGTGCTGCTGACCTTCACCAGCACGTGAGAGTGGTCCATCTTCAGCACTGGGATGAGCTTGTTCAGGAACCTGAGGTTTGTGTTCCGCTTGCCACGGTAGGGGCTCAGGATGAAGTAGTACTTGGTGGCTGAGCCCCGCATAGAGTACAGCAGCTTGTAGTCCTTCCTGCTGATGTTGTCAGTCAGGATGAACACGGCAGATGAGATCTCGGTCAAGAGCTTGAACTGCAGCCAGTGAGACCCGATGTCGCCCCGCAGGTTCAGAAAGGCCACGGGCTCCGGGAAAACGTCCAGGTCCTCCTTGCCACTGGGGAGGAACCAGGACACTTCCACCAGCCCATCTGCGATCTCCCGGGGGTTGGTGCCTATGCTCAGGTCGCGGTGCCAGAAGCAGTCCCGCGGCCGGTGGCCGGGGCTGAGCACAGCGTTGAGCAGCTGTGACTTGGAGTTGCTGCTGACTTCCATGCGCACAAAGGCAAAGGCAGGGGCTCGGGACAGCACCGCACTGTCCTCTCGGAGGCCGCCCACCCCCCGTGGGGGCTGTGCCCACCATGTCCGCACCACAGCCCTCAGGGCCCACAGCAGAAACGTGTGGTAGTGATTCTCCGAGTCGGGCAAGATGAGAGGGAGTGCAAACTGGCACAGGGACATTTTCAGTACAATTTCCTGCTGTAGGAAACCATCTGAGGAGAGCAGAAGGGCACAGAGAAGGTCCAAGGGGTTCACAGGCGTGTCGGGCGTCGGCAGCTCTGAGAAGGAATAGATGTCTGCAGAGATGTCCTCGGAGGCGTCCCAGTAGATGATCTCCTCTTCCATCTGGCTCTCCTTCTCCGCAGGCCTGGCATCCGGGGGCATGTCCAGCACCATGGTGGTGCTCCTGGCCTCGGCATTGAGCGCCTGTAGCTTCCTGAGGAAGTTCCAGGGCAAGTCTTTGGGAGCCTGAGGAGCCCAGTTCCTCATGCTGTCGCTGCTGATCTGCAGGGCGTCCTGGAGGCTGAGCTTCTGGGCCTGGTAGGTCTCCAGCCCCAACAACGATAGCATCTCTTGCAGCCTGCTCCTCTCCACTGCGGGGGGCGGAGGGGGGTGTGTGGGAGGAAGACGTCAGTGCTCACCCCACCCATCAGGGGCCCGATTACAGGTGGGAGGGGGACAGCCTCCCCAGGACTGCCCGAGACCAAACTCACACCACTCCCAGACCCAAACACGCCAGGCACATTGGACGCTAGAGAGAAGACACCCAGGTGCCACGTTCAAGAACTGGGAGAGTCCATGAAAACATCTATGACTCAGGTTTCTCCTGAAACCCACAACACACAGCCACACTGGGCCCCAGTTTAACCATGTAGAGTGCACAGCCATGCACCCACACATGGGACGCAGACTCCCTTCTCTAACCACACCCCCAACCCTGCCAAGTGACCCTACAGCCTTTCCCCACACTCTGGGCCAGCAGTGGGTCCCTGCACACTGTCACCAGGAATTTTCAGGTTATGTTCTTTTCTTTTTACAAACAACTTGGAGAATTTTTAAAGGGAACAGGAAGTTAACATTAGATACAGAGTCACAGAAATCACAGCTACCAACAATTTTGTGAATCTGAAGCCAAAAATGTCATTTTAATGTCATGGGGGTAAAATATTTGGTAGAGGTGATCATAAGTCTGCTCTTGTTCAGATCTTCAAATACCACCCAACACAGTAAGAATACTTAGGGGCACTAGATGCTGGGCACAGTAACTCCTCAAAAGGTTTCATCCACTGTCCCTGTTCCTGGGTGTGGCATCTTACCAATTTCCATACTGCACAGAATTAATATGCTTTCATGGTCAAATAAGTGAACAAATTTAGAAATGCAAATCCTACTAAGCTATAGGCTTTTTTTTCACTCCTTTCTCAAAAGAGAAAGCTTATGAAGTTACCCAGATGTTTATAGAAACCCTGCCAGGAGGCACAGCCCTGGTCCGGGGCCTTCCTGGGTGACCAGCAGGACTCAGCCCTGGGACACAGGTGTCTCCTCCCCTGCAGGGCCCACCTGCTGCCTCTCTTCAGAACCTGCTCTGCACTGGGGGGATGGAGAGGGGGAGGTGGTGCAATGTGGCTGCAGTACCACAGGGCTGGCAAACTTGTTGCAGAAACAAAAGAGCTGCATGGGGTCACATGGGGATCAAAAGGGTGTTGCTCAGGTCTCCTGAGTTTTGCCTGAATGAAACCAGGGACCTGGCTTTTCTGATCCAGGCATGGAACAACTGTTTTTGTCTTTTAAGTAGCATGGTAGGGAGGGTCAGTGGGGGAAAATCCAGAAAAGAAACCTCATAGACATCCATGCCTAGTGTGTAGCCCTTGGTGGGAGTGTCACAGAAATCACTGGAACAGCCAGAGGGTCCCCAGATCCCACTGTGCTTTAGAACCACTGTCAGGGGTGCCTGGTAGGGGGAGGTCAGTCAGTTGAGTGTCTGACTTGGGCTCAGGTCATGATCTTGAGGCTCATGGGTTCAAGCCCCATATTGGGCTCTGTGCTGACAGCTCAGAGCCTGGAGCTTGCTTCTGATTCTGTGTCTCCCTCTGTCTCTGCCCCTCCCCCACTCACACTCTATCTCTCTCTTTCAAAAAGAAATAAACGTTGAAAACAAAAATTTAGAATCACTGTGGGGACTCAACACAAGTAAGATTCCCGTGTTTGTAGCTTTGCCTGCCAAGATGCTAGTGTCCGTCACGGTCCCAGGTGTGGTGGCATTGAGGGTTAAGGGGCCAGTGGAGACCCTGACACAGGTGCTGTCCTCCCTCGTCAGGACAGGGGTGAGAGCAGAGAAAATGCATACCTGTTGGGAAGTCACTGTCCTGAGCCTCATTTGTACCATCTAAAAAAGCAAAGGAAAATGAGGTGTCAATCAAATCAGCATCTTAGATTGACACACATTAATTTAGGCTAAACCTAGAACCCACCTTCTTCTAAGACAGCAAATTCTCCCCAGTGATCACAACATAAAGTCCTGGTGATTTCTCACTCTGCCCACCCGCCCCCTTTCCCCAGACTGGTCCGCTTCAAACCCTGCTGTCTCTCCCTACACAATGAAACTCACAGTCATCTGCTTCCATTTCTCTCCATTCCAGATCTGGAAGAAAACACACACATGGTGACTTTCATCAGCAAGTTAGGACCTTTCTACCAAAAATCTCAGTGAGATATGAGGGCTACTGTTTATTAATAGTGCTATTCACTTCAGTTTTTCCTATGTACATTTCTTTTCTCCAGCCCCAAATATGACACAAAGTAGTAACAGCTACATATGAAAGAGTGATTTGCTCTAGAATACATATCTTGAAGAATTTGTTTCAAGTTTCCAAAAATAAAATATAAATAAGTTCATGAAACTTACATAGATTAAGCTTTGGTGTTAGAAACTATTTAAAACATAAGTTAGTGCAAATTCTTTGGCTCAATTTCAAGATCACCTCCTACAAACATCATTTTTATTCGATCATAAAGAGTTTTTGAAATCCTTGAAATGAGGCACCTCTGCTGGGGAAGGGCTACAACTTCCATGTCCACAGTTATCTGTCCAAAGTCTAGCATCAGGATATGTCCATCAACACTAACATTTTACTACAGGGTACATTTAAGTTAGTGCCATTTAGATGTACAAAGACCTTAAAACCCTACTGCCATGCCTTCAAACATGGGACAGTGGGAGCAAGACTTCGGTGTGTACTTTTTTTTATTGTTCTGACTTTTGATTCAAGTACAAGTACCATCTAATCCAAAATTAAATTTATATTTTTTAAAGCTTATGAATCAAGAAAAGATTCTGGTATTTTCAGATTTATTAACTCCTCTCATGATTTCCATGTCATCAGGCAGATAAACAGGACCTTTCAGTCTTCTTTGATGGCATCTCTGGAGACAGACATGAAGAGCATGGAACAGAAACAGGAAAGGGGTTGGAGAAATCATGAGAGCATGGAGGACAGATGATTCACACACATCAAACCACAGTGTTGAGCAATCAAAAGATCAGTTTATTCGAAGTGGAGAAAGGGCACTAGAAGATTTTTTCCCAAGGAATCCAAAATGTCCTCTGAGAAAATATGGCAATTACAGGATATGATGGGACAGAGAGGAGCCTGAAACTGGCTCCAGGTAGCTCTGTGAGCAGTTGTGAGCAGGAATCACAGGATAAATCTCAGACTCACAGAAGCCAGGGCCTTGTTTTGTTAGGGATGGGACACAGCTCTCATGCGCAAAGGACAGATTACAGGTAGGCGATGGCAAGGAGGCACAAAGTGGCCAGAGGGTCAGCTTATCAAACTGTAGGAACCACAGTGGGGCAGGAGAGCTTAGACTCCGCAGGCCGAGATCACCAGGAGCCCAGATAAGCACCGGTCAGCAGCAGACACAGGGACCAGCAAGGGCTTGCTCTTGGGGGCCAAGCTCTTCGCTACAGTTCCTGCTGGACAGGCTGGGCTCCAACCCCCGGGAGCAGCAGGCTGAGAGGGACAGTTCTGGCCAGGCTCTCCCACTGAAATGATCTGTCAGTGGGGCAACTAAAACCACTCTCACTCATGAATCTGAATTACTTTTCCCCAGTTATTATGGCACCCAATACTCACTCCAAAGAGCTTTCACTGAGTTTTGGAATGCTTGCTAATGGGAAGTCCGTGGACATTGAAGACACCGTTTGACAACCTTGGGCCTATTAGTGTATATGAAAGAGAATGAAGTTGAACTCCCACCTCACACCCTGTATAAAGATGAACTCAGTTGTATTAAAGGCCTAAATATAAGAGTGAAAGGAGTAAATCTTCATAACCTTGGATCTGGCAAAGGATTCTTAGCTGTCACGTCCAAAGCACAGGTAACAACAGAAAAAAAAAAAAAGACAGATGGGATGGCATGAAGATAAAAATTTCATGTGTATCAAAGAGCACTGTGAACAAAGTGGAAAACAACCTACAGAATGGGAGGAAATACATTCAAATCATATGTGATTTGGGTCTAGTTTCTAGGATACGTAAACAACTCTCACAAATTCAAACAAAAAAGAAAAAAAAACAGTTAAAATGGGCAAAAGATGAGGTGCCTGGATGGCTCAGTTGGTTAAATGACAGACTCATGACTTTGGCTCAGATCATGATCACACGGTTTGTGAGTTCTAGCCCCGCATGGCACTCTGCACTGACAGTGTGGAGCCTGCTTGGGATTCTCTCTCTCTCCCTCTCTCTCTGCCTCCTCCTCCACCCACCCCCGCTCTCAAAATAAATTTTCCTTTCTTATTGTGTTAAAATATATATAACATGGGGAACCTGGGTGGCTCAGTTGGTTGAGTGTCAGACTTCGGCTCAGGTCATGATCTCATGGTTCATGAGTTCAAGCCCCATATCCAGCTCTCTGCTGTCAGCACGGGGCCTACCTCAGATCCTCTGTCCCCCTCACTGCCCCTCCCCAGCTCATGCTCTCTTTTTCAAAACTAATTTTAAAAACATTAAAAAAATATATACATAACAGGGGCTTTTGGGTGGCTCAGTTGGTTAAGCATCTGACTTCAGCTCAGGTTGTGATCTCACAGTTAGTGGGTTCAAGCTCCATGTTGGGCTCTGTGCTGGCAGCTCAGAGCTGGAGCCTGCTTCAGATTCTGTTTCTTCCCCTCTCTCTGCCCCTCCTCCACCCATTCTCTCTCTCTCTCTCTCTCAAAAATAAACATTTAAAGAATGCACATTACAGAAAATTTACTACCTTGCACATTTGTGGGTGTACAGCTGAGTGGTGTTGAATCCGTTTGTTCACTGTTGTGCCGTTATCCACCATCCACACTGTGAATATGGAGTCCTAATTGTACTAGAGAGTAACTTCCGTTCTCCTCCCAACTCAGTCACCGGAAACTCTGTGACTCTCAGTGCCTCACATACATAGAATCACACAGCATTTGTCTTTTCGTAACTAGCTTATTTCCCTTGGTTTGACGTCCTCATGGTCCATTCATGCCGTAGTGTATGGTGGTGTTTCCTTCCTTTTTAAGGCTGAATCTTATTCCATTGTGCAGATGGATCACATTTGGGTAATCTCTCCAGGTGGTTGTGGACACTTGGGTTGCTTTCATGTTTTAGCTCTCGTGATGACTCTATCAATATAGGTGTACAAAGATCTCCTGCAGACCTTGCTTTCAATTCTTTGGGCCCCATACCCAGAAATGGAACTGCTAGACCGTATGGCATTTCTATATTTAATTTTTTGTGGAAGCTCCACCTGGTTTTCCCCAGCTGCCATACCCATTCATGCTCCCACTGGCGGTGCACAAGGCTCCAGCTCTACTACATCCTCACCTGGACTTATTCTTGTCTCTCTTGCTCTTTATTGTGACAGTGGCCATGGTGGGTGTGAGCGGTATAGCACTGTGGTTTTTATTTGCATGTCACTAGTGACTAATGATGTTGAGTTCACTGCCCATTCCTGTATTTTCTTTGGAGAAATGTCTGTTCGAGTCTTTTGCCCATTTTTAAACTGTGGTATTTTTTTTAATTGTTGAGTTTTAGTTCTCCAGATGTTCTAGTTATTAATCCCGTGTCAAATCCATGGTTTGGAAATTCTCTCCCATTCTATGCATTCCTTTTTTACCCCATGGATGGTGTTATCTGACACACAAAATGTTTAAAGTTTCATGCAGTGCAATTTGTCTATTTTTCTTTTGTTGCCTGTGCCTTTGGGGTCACATCTAGGAAATCACTGCCACATCCAAATGTGTGAAGCTTTTGTTCAGTGTTTTCTTCCAAATATTTGTTGTTTTAAGTCCTACACATAGATTACATGATCCATTTTGAGTTAACTTTTGTATATAGTATTGGGTAAAGGACTGACTTCATTATTTTGCATGTGAACATCCAGTTTTCCCAGCACTGTTTGTTGGAAACACGATCCTGTACCCAGTGAATGTTCTCAGCACCCTCGTCAAAAATCACTTGACTGCACGCATAAGGGTTTACTTCTGGGCTATTCCATTATAGAATATGGCTATTCCTATGTATCTGTCTTTATGCCAGTACCACACTGTTTTGATTATTATAGCTTTGTAGTAGGTTTTGAAATCAGGAAATGAGTCTTCCAGTTCTGTCCTTCTTTCTCAAGATTATCTTGGCTATTCACTGTCCCTTAAGATTCCATATGAAGTTTAGGATGGGCTTTCCCTTTTTCTGCAAAATATGTAATTGGCTTTTTTTTTATTATTTTTTTAATGTTTTATGTATTTCTAGGAGAGAGAGAGAGACAGCGTGAGAAGGGGAGGGTCAGAGAGAGAGGGAGTCACAGACTCTGAAACAGGCTCCAGGCTCTGAGCTGGCAGTCAGCACAGAGCCCAATGCGGGGCTCGAACCCACGAACCGCGAGATCATGACCCAAGCGAAAGTTGGACGCTTAACTGACTAAGCCACCCAGGCGCCCCTGTAATTGGCTTTTTGATAGGGTTTGCAATTAATCTGCAGATCACTTTGGATAATACTGACATCTTAACAATATTAAGTCTACCAATCCATGAACATGGGATGTGTTTCCATTTATTTATATCTTCTTTAATTTCTGCAGCAATGTTTTATTTTATTGTACAATTCTCTTCCCTCCCTGGTTAACTCCTAAGTACTTTATTCTTTTTGATGCTACTGTAAATGGACTGTTTTTGTAATTTCCTCTTCAGTGTGTTCACTGTTAGTGTTTACAAATGTAACTGGTTTTTGTGTGTTGACTGAATTTATTAGTTCTAACAGCTCTTTTTGTGGAATCTGTATGATTTTCTACATATAAGATAATATCATCTCCAAACAGGGATAATTTTACCTCTTCCATTCCCATTTGGATGCTGTTTATTTCTTTTTCTCCCCTCACTGCTCTGGGCGGGATTTCCAGTACGAGGTTGGGCATGAGTGGTGACGTGGGTGTCTCCTGATCTTAGAGGAAAAGCTCTGTCTCTCACCCCCGATTCTGCTGTTTGCTGTGGGTTGTCCACATGGAGATAGATTCCATCTACTCCTACTTTGTAAAGTCTTTTCATCAAGAAATGGTAGGGAATTTCATCAAATGTTTTTTCTGCATCAATTAAGATGATCACTTTTTCCCTTCATTTTGTTGATG